CCCCCCCCCCTTCCTCCATAAAAATTGGGGTCTTATCTGCCATGCTTTTGTCTTTTGTCACGTGCAGGCTAACACAGCCATTGGAGGCGTTGCACCTTGAAGACGACATTCAGCTCGTCTTCTTTCACCCCCAATACGCCTTCAGGTGAAGGGACCGGAACTTTTGTGTTTGTTGTTTTTGTCGTGGAGGTGATGGTGACGGTGGTGGTGGTGGTTGCTGCTGCTGCTGCTGCTGCTGCTGCTGCTGCTGCTGCTGCTCCTACTGTCATTGTCGCTTTCATGAACGGTGGTGGTTGTGTGGCCTTGGTGCTTTATTTGACGCTGATCCCTCTGAGTGGCGGTCGTTGTGTTTTGTCTGGCCGTCGTCGATGTTACATCTATGTTGCTTGTGTGCGTGTGTAGCTTCTCTTCCCTCCCGGCTGTGGTTGTCTCGTGCCGTTCCCGACGTCGTGAACGGTACACCCCACACCACCTTCTGGACACACTCGAAACCTATGCAAGGTCTGCCGCTGTTGCTCGGGGTGTGCAAGGTTGAGGGGCATGGCTCATCACGTTTTGTTGGCATCTGCGCAGGCGAGACTAGTGAGGCGGGTTGTTGTAGGTCTGTGCTTTGTTTCACTCTAGTGCAATGGTTGTAGGTCAGCCAAAGATTATGTACCTGATACGCTGATGTGCGTGATTTTTTCCTTGGTCAACTTTGACGGTCCCTTTATCGTTCTTCGTGTACAGGGACGGGCGAGATCGCATTGGGAGCGGCGGCGCGGCTAACTTCGCCCGACGGTCTCCCTTCCCAATGATCAACATCCTCAGGACAAACCAGGTGAGCGCGTTGCAGCGGACTTTCTCTCTTTGCTTGGTGTTGTCCCAAAAAAAGACGTGTGCATGCTTTGTCAACGTGTGCATGCTTCGTCAACGTGTGCCTCATACCTTGTCTACCTTGATGCTGTGGGTAGTTATCATTCCTCATTTTGCGGAAACAGTCGTGTCTCTGGGACACCAACTGGTTCAGGGGGAAGTTGTTGCCCGCGATTGCCAACACCATGGACACTGGGGGGAAGCTTCCCACGGGCCGCACGCCTTTTTTACTTGAACAAGTTCATAATGTTCGCAACCTAAATGGTACCGATTCGTAAGCGGACAGTGATTTATTTTCCCGTCCCGGACAACCCCCCCCCTCCCCCCCCCGGTGTTTTGCCATCGGGGTTGGGTTTTCGTCGCTTGGCAACGACGTTGTAAAACAAGCCAATTCACTTCGTGAACTCGGCAACCAGGTTACCGGTTTTTTTTTTTTTACCTCCGGTTTTTTTTTTTGGCGGTAACCATAATGGTGGCCGAATAGATCATGTTGTGCGGGGTCGCGAGTCCTCACTCCGCGCAAGGGGGATGATCGCACCACGTTGTGTTAAAATGGTCAAGCACCCTCGAGGCAGTTACACAGTGCTTACAACTGTCTCTGGAAGTGAAAGCACCAGAAAATAAATTAATTCATACGCAGCTGTCATCCGTACGCAAGGAAGTAAGCACAAGATGCCGAACACCCTTAGCAGGATGCAGCGCACCCTTCATGCGACTCGCCGAATATCTCACGGCGCTTCGCGCTTGGTGATGTGAGAGCCTGGTCCGGTGAGAACCCGGCGTGCTCCGTCCCGGCTTTGTAGGGATGCGAGGTCAATGGTCTGACGACTACGGCATGCACGACTATGAGTACACCCGGACAACCGAAGGTGTGCACGAGTTGCTTGTCGCGGTGATCACTGTTGTTGATGTTTCTTGTTGCCATTTTTTGCGCCTGAAACAAGAACGTTCCTCTTCTCGAAAAATTTCGTTTCGTCTGTATCCGTTGCTGCCGTTTATTTTCTATTGATAGTGCACGCACGCAGTGGTCTCTTTTCCATCCTTGGCTGCCATTGTTACTTTCTATTGCTTCGCGCGTTTTTTTCGTCTTCATTCTTCGCTTCCGTTTTTTTTTGTTCTTTGCTGCACCCGCTTGTTTCCCGGTTTCCTTGGCCCTGCAACATCTCCGAAGGTCCGGCTGGCCCAGAAGTCCATCCCTACGGGGTTGGTGTACAAGCAAAACGAGGAGGTTCTGGAGGAAGTAGGGGCCGGCGACCTCCAGAAGATGCTCGAAGTCCGGGATTGGACAGGACTCGAGGGGAAAAAAGTGAGTCGAGCGAGTTGCGCCTGCACACCCACATGTTCGTCTTTGAACCACAGTTTTACCCCATAAAAAAACAGCTTGTCGTTGGTACCTTTTCTTTGGGGGGGGGCGGACACAGGCGGAGCAGGTTTGCTATACAGCGGTCCTCTTTCGGCGGTACATGAGCGGTTTTTCGTTTTTCGGCGGTATACACATGGGCCGCCTTGGGCGGTCCCGGTAAAACCAAAATATGGCGGTAATTGCCGCCAGTACCGGGTCCGCCCACGAAGGCGGTAAGAAAGGCCAGGAAATTTCACAAGCTTGGTTGCAGCGACCAATCTGAAGGGACCTGTGCATGGTATATGTGTGTGTTGTGTGTTTTCGTCCTATTTATTTATTATGGCGACAGTCCCCCCATTTTTCGTGGTGAGACGTGTACTACACTTTTCAGCGTATGTAGAGTACTGCGCTGTTCAGTGTATTTTTTCGTACAAGCACAACCATCCAGGGTCACACACGAGGGGGCAAACACCAGGGCTTTTTTTCTTTTTTATTTCTTTTCATGCCCCACCTTCCTCTTGCGGTGCGTGCTGAATTTTTCTTTTTTATCGCGAGAAGGGTCCAGCCGTCCCTTTCCCTCGTCAACGGTGCTAACGTCGAAGTTTGGTACTCACGAGAGCTATGTAGGAGTGCTCGAATGGGGTAGGATCAGCTCACAAGCGATCAGTGGGTGGGGGGAGTAGCGCAAAGGGTTCGCCAACAATGTGTCTTTCGTCGGTTTTACGGGCTTGATAGGCGAAGGTGTCGTCTGCAAGCAAGTTCCCGACATATCCGGCAAGGTGCAATGGATGAGTTGAGGAGAGCAATCGAACGCCTCACTGCTGTTGCAACCATCCCTCGCGCCATCCTCCGCCCACGGCGTCGATCGCAAGGCCATCGTTTCCTGCGTTCCTCACGAGTCTCCCCCGTCTGAAACACGAACTACGCAATTCATCGGTTGTCCGCCCCCCACGTTGTTTGCCACAATTACGAAAGGTCGACCGCAGGCGCGTGGAGTACTACCAGACCGCCCGCAAACTCCAGGGTGAAGACGTTACCCCGTCCACCAAGCCACTAACATCGTCAGAAGCCGACGCGGACCCAACGCCGGCACCACCCACCGACTCCAGGGCGGGTGGCGGCGGTACGGCAGCGGCGGCGGCGGTGAACGCGAGGAGCGGGGCCAGGGGGTCCCTGGCGACTGCGGCGGGCACCATGCAGACAAGCTTCGAGGAAGGTTTCTCCAGTCACGATGAAGATGACGGCGACGATGTTGATGACGATGGAAGTAACGAGGTGGAGCCAGCCGTGGAGACGGCCGCCGAGGTTGAGGTCGAATCCGTTCCAAGCGCTGGGAGCGATGGCCCTCCTGAGGTGGCGACGGCGGGTGCGACCTCGGGCGATGACGTTGCGGCGGCAGCAGGGGCGGCGGCCGACTCGGCAACGACATCGAGGGTAGGAGGGGCGGCGGCGACGGCGGCAGCAGCGAGTTCTGCGGGAATCTCGGACGAGGATCTCAAAACGGTAAGTGCAGCCACCATTTTTTGTGGCCTCTATCGAATCCTTTTTTTTATTTTGTTTAGCACAACGATTCCATCTCGATCCACAGACAGTGGATCCCAGAACAATAAAGCAGTGAATCTATGGCGTAACGTGCTGGTACACTCGCTAGTTTTGAAACAGTGGCGAGGTGTTGGTGCCGTTCTTGACGGTTTCAGAGCAAAATATTATTTCGCCCCATGAAACGGCCGAGCCTCCAAATACGCTTCTGGCGCCCGCGACGTCACCAGCCACGTTGTTTAGCCATGAAGCGCCGCACGAAATCGCCGACCTCCCACTCCCGTACACTGTCACCACCACCCTTCCCCCCCCCCCCCCCCCCCCCCCCC